CACAACGACTAAGAAAATATGGGATACATTGGTTGAAACTCGTGAAAGAACCACCAAAGTTAAAAGATCAAAACTAAACACTTTGAGTCAAGACTATGAGTTATTCAAAATGCAGCCCTGAGAATCAATCCTCGACTTGAAGAAAATATCCGTGCACTTGAAAATCACTTGAAAGCAATTAGTAAGACTCTTACTACCAATGAAATTAATCTTAAAGTGCTTAAATCTTTAACCAGGGAATGACAACCAAAAGTGACGGCAATATTCGAGAAGAAAAACCTATCCAAAATGACTTCCATAACTTTGTTCGGAAAACTTCAAGAAAATGAGATGAAATTTGGAAGACTTGAAAGGCACGATAATCAAGAGAAGAAATCCAAAAGTATTGCATTAAAACTTGACTCCAAGGAAATTGAAAAAGGAGATAATCCGAAATATGATGAGAACTTCATACTTCTTGTAAAAAGGTTAGGTAAATTTTTTTTATATCACTTAAGAATATAAAAGTGATAATTACTCTACATTATTAATCATCAACTTCATTTTTATTATATATTTTCCATAATTGTTTTGTATACCTTGTTATCCAGTATTGTTGGAAACAAGAGCATGTGAAAGAAAGGATTGTTTTCTTTTTATATTTGTTTGGTTTGTATACCCTTCTGTCCAATATTGTTGGAAGCAAGAGAGTTGAATTGGAGAGGATTATTCTCCTTTAAACTTGGTTGTCATGAGAAGATTATTCTTGGTGATTTTGTTAGATAGGAAGACTAAAAAGGTCTTGTCCATAATATCTAACAATAAAAAAATCTCTTATATGTGGTAAGGGGACTAGATGTACTCTCGGATTGTAAGGGGAACTAGGATAAATTTCATGTGTTCTTTACCTTTCCACATTTACCACTCTCATCACATATCAAAACCTGAAAAGAAAGAAACCCATTTCTAAAATCAAAATTTTTTTATTACACCTAATTCACCTCCTCTTAGGCGCACACTTAAACTTACACTAAACACAAGGACTATAACAATATTACACTTGTTCAACAATCTTTATGATTCCAAGAAATTGTTTTGAAATTATATTTGTTTGTAGAACTAAGTTAAAATGACGGTAAATTAAATTAAGATTAACATATGAGATGAGATTAATGGGGTAAGATTTCATTATACTATACTAATTTATTCTTTTGATCCGACATACATATTTTAGTAAACATTTACTATTATCTCTTATCTTTATGCGTATGTTATTAATGTCTAAATAACAATGTGATATTAATCATATTGCTTACTTGATAATATCTCATCCGATTAACCAAACGATAGTATTAAGTGTCGATAATGTATATCAATGTTAAACCTAAATCCATCTCTAGAATTTAGTGTTTAACATATAAAAATCTTATATCTAGTTATGAAAAGTATTTCTCAACAACATTTCACAACCATATATCAAGTTAGAATTTGCTCGATCATAACATGCATTAAAAATGAGGATGATCAATATAAATGAACAACTATAAAATATTCAATATCATGATCAAAAGGAATACATGAGTATTTGGAAAATTACATCTAACCCTAACAAAATAAAATTTAGCTACTCTTACTTATAGTATCTTTACACAAATGAATAAGAAAGAAATGGAAAAACACTAATGACTGATTTCTTTAACCATATGAAGCCTCCACCTCCGATCTTCAATTTCCCTTGCAATTTCTATCTTTGTTCTCTCTCTGTTTTCCCTGTTCTATTTGATATATAATGTATGGAATGAATGATAATGGGAAAGTTGTGACCTCTTTTTATAGGGGTCTCATCAGGAAATTTTGTTCGACGAAATCATTAGCTCACCCAACGAGCATACCTTTGTTCATCAAGAAGTTACTTACAACTTATACAAGTTGGATTTAAACCTCCCTATTTCTCCCAACAAGCCTATATTTCCCCTAGAGAGAAATTCCTTACTTCACCATGAAGCAACTTAACCAACTGGACTCTGAATCACCCTGTTTTGCCCAACGAGCTTTATACTTTGCCCATCGAGAATTCCTTGTTTCTCCATGTAGTAACTTTTTCCAAGTGTATTCTAAACCACATTTATTGTCCTAACGAGTTTGTACCATCGGCAACGAGGATGTCCTCGAATGGTACTTTTCTCACTAGTTGGGCCATTGCTCGCCCAAGAATTATTATGTTGCTCAAATGTATCAATAGACGTAGATGATTAATTGGTGCTTGGTTTCTTCAGGTAAGGTGAAAGACCATACTTTTTAAAGCATTAATACTATGACTCAGTTTGTGATAATAACTTCAAATTTTGATGCCACAGTCACGTCATAGGAATTGTCTTTGTTAGTGGTAGCATTCCCTGAGTTCATGTAAAACTTCATGCATATTTTCTATCCATATAACACTTTGAGCTATATATATCCATCAATAGAGTTTGTGAGAGATGCAATTATCTTTGTGTTGCAATCGTCCCATTTAATAGATAACTTATCAGAATCTTCAGGACAATCAGGGTTCCATCAAGGAAACCTAATTTATTTTTTGATCACATGAACATAATAAGAAATTGGGACCAAGAATGGTAATCAAAGTTGTTCAAAGGAGGCGAGACAATGGCTAGGCTAGGTTTATCACTTGAGTGCATAAAGAGAGAGTCAAGCATGCCAATGATCATTTTTGGTATTTGTGGAAGATGAATGGTGTGATTTTTTGGTGAAGTATGTGTCTTGGAGGTTGGTATGATAGGAATTTCAAGACCAATGATGGTATTTGGGGTGACCTAAATGAAAAAATAAAAATAAAATAAAAAAGAAAGAAGAGAGATCGACCATTAAGAAAGAGAAATAATGCATAAAAGTGAAAGAAATATTTTTTGTAAAAAATGAAAGAGGATGGTGAAATTTGAAGAGAAAATAAAGGTATGTAAAAGAAGACACGTAGATGTATCTTAGGAAGATTATGAGATTTTAGATAGGATGAAGATAAACTTCTCATATGTAATTTGGAAAATCAATTAAATGAAGAAAAATGTTATAAGGTAAATGTATAAGGATAATTTTCTGAGCACTTGGAGGGAAAAGCTTGATACAAATTTGAATTTATCGGAAGAATCTTTTGATAAAAGAAAAGGCCCAACCTACGATGATAGACCTTAATAGGTCTCTCACATAAGCGCGCATTCATTTCCAATTTTTTTTTCCAGTTTCAAGCATTTAGCAGAGGTTTTTAATCTTAGGAAAAACAAAACCTCCACAAAATTTAATGAAAAGTAAAAAAATTTAATAAACAATAGTGAACAGTAAAATAAAAACTTTGAAATAGCAGAAGTTTTTAACCCCCCGTAGAAAAGTTGTGCTAAATCATACTATTCATTAAATAGCGGGGGTTTTGAACCCACACAACATGTTAAAAAAAGTATTAAAAAAATAGCTGCAATTCACGTGAGAAGGTGTCTTACCGTAGACGTCATAATTTTTTTTTTGATAGGGATAACCATGGTTTGATCCGCACAATGATCGAGAAGAAATTGAAATCGTTTGATATCAAAATTGACCTTCAAAAGAGATTATAACCGTGAAAACTGAAAAAATAAATGTCATACGATAAAATGATAATGTTTGATATATGAACTCTTATAGACATGATTTCATTAAAAAAACAGTACCAAAAAGAAGATAGAAAAATTGAGTTATATTTCCTAAATGTTAATTACACATGTTTAATCCTTTTATTTACATAGATTAATTAAGCATAACATTAAATAAAAATAAATTCTTTAGTAGCTAGGACTTTTAATGGTGAGGATGATCACTGCTCCACTCTAGTGAAATTTACACAGGAGAGAATCCTTTCCTCTCTTGTTTACTCTTTCTTCCTACTTTTCGGTTCCTTGATTTTGTTGCTCACTCTCTCGTTTTTTTCTCCCAATTATGATTTTCTATCTCTTGATGAAATCGCATCTCGCAACCCTTTCTTTGACCTCTCGCTCTCAATTTGCGAATAAGAATCTATGGTGAAGGGAGCGGCGCGGTGACTGAACTGAGTCGATGGTGTGTGTGGCACTGTACGGTGCTTCTTTGTTCTTCAATAACTGCTGGGCCGCATAGACTAGGGCCGCATAGATAAGATATTAAAATACTAAATTACCCTTCAATAACTGCTTCATTTCACATGTTTGTTTTTACACTTCTGCTCAGATCCTTGCATGTGTGTGTGAATATTGTTGATTGGATAATTTGGACTCCGTCTCTAGTTCCACCATAGCTAACTTAAGTTGGACTTCATGTTTTAAGGTTGATAATCCTCTTTCACTTGGTGATTATTCTCCTTGTAGTGGTAGGCCGTCTTCTACTTTCTGGTAGTAGTTAGTTATTTATTTTGTGGAAGGCTGTGTATCTTTACTTGATGCTGCCTGTGGTAGTCTAAATTAACTAGTTTATTCTTTAGGTGAGATTTAAATTTCATGTAAAGAGTGATCTATGATGGATTCACTATGATTTCCTTACTCTATCTTATTTCCCATCTTCTCTACTTTTTATGATTTATTCAAAAAACCATGTAATACATTTCTTTATCTTTTCATATATCTAACTTATCTTGGAAACCATATTGGATTTTTTTTCTTGACTTTTGCTCCAGCATGTATGGGGTTAGTTTGCCTTCTCTTATCCTCTGCAAAGTGAATAGACTGAACTGATATACCACGTGTTAGAGTAATTATTATTTTTTGTCCTTTTGCTTCTATTATTTTCTACTGACCGGTGATGTTGGCGAAACTTCATTTACAAGTCTTCCAGCATTTATCATTGATGACAATGCTCTAGGTGCCTACATTTGTTGCTTTCCCTATGAAGCTTCTCATGTTTTTTTATAGATTAGAAGCATCACATGTATATCATTAAATGACAGTGTTATGGAGCTGATTGTAGCTAGGAAAAGATGCTGCAGGAACACAAGGAAGTGACTACAATTCAAGGGGGCTGTTTTAGAAATATGACAGGACAGCATAGTATGCAAGTGGCGGTAAATACGATTTGGTAAAAGAAGTGGATGGGAGCATATCTATACTATAATTCTTGGTGACACTGGGATTTGTGGAAGGCATTGAACAACTGGAAAATGGAAGTAAGGTGTTGCACGAGTGGAGATGATGGTGTTGAGGCAAACAATAAGAAGCATAGCAGATTTTGAGGGGTATTAATTCCATTTCCAATATGTGGGTGTTTTTGTTTGGCTCTTGAGAAAGTTAAAGATCACTAAACACAAAAGAGAGAAAAGAAAAACTAACTTGAATTGAAGTATATAACTCTTCAATCTTCAATGCATTGAGGTTAGTGTTGTATTATTTAAGAGAATTTCTAGTGGTGATATGACCTACTGAAAACTCGAAATTACTCTTCAGATATACATTCGAATGCACTTTATGAATTTGGAATATTGAACTATATTGGAAGGAATTTTTATTTTTCATTTTTAGAGAGATTTCGGATATCCATATCCGAAATAATCCAATATTTTAAATTTCTTTTGATTTTATTTTGAAAAAATATTTATTTATAATATAGTTATAATATAATTAAATTGAATTATTATTAATAAAGAATAACTTAAGTTTATAATTGAAAACTAAATATTAAAATAGTTTTATGATATGAAATTAAACAATGAATGCAATAATTGAATTTCTAATTATAATGGTGAAATGTAACAATTGATATATTTTATAATAAAATAAAATGTAATTAAAGAATCTCGATGTTCTAGTGTTTCTGCGTCTCTGGCATTTGCACGACCTAACGTAAAAAACTCAATTTTCTAGAAAATCAATTCTAAATTAAAATTTTACCGTGGCAATTCATCCAAAAAAATTCGGGATTAAAATAGGGGACTCCACCCTAAAAATCTTAAATTCCTTGTTTTTCTATTTTATTTGATATATTTTCCGTTTTTCATATTTTAAAAAAAATTCGAAAAAATTTGTAGACACTTAATTTAATTTTATTTGATTTTTAGTTGTATTTTTAAATTTTTATAACAAGAGTAAAATTCGAATATGCATATTCGAAACTATTTTTTTTCGTAAAAAATGATGTGTATTCGGATATGCATATTCGAGTGCACCTCATTTTTTTGTAAAATTCGGATAGCATTATTCAAAACTATTTTTTCATAAAAAATAAAGTATATTCGAATATGCATATCTAAATTTTAAAAATATTTTGAATTTTTCGTTAGAAATCGGAAAGATGAGTATTAAATATGGAAAGAAATTCTCTTACTTATTTAATGTAAGTAATGATAATATCAAAGGTTACAAATAAATCGGTAATGTTTATATGTTAACAACATAATACAAAAGAGTTTCTAAAGTCTTTTAGTAATATAGCCCTTATCTAATACTTATTGAAATGTTACTAAATTTCAATATTTATATTAACAAGAAAAGAAAGACGAATAAAAAGACATGAAAATTATTAATCAGGTGTTTAAAATATATTATAAAAAGTTGAGATTTTTTTGGCTAACAACTTATAAATTCAAAGCAAACCAGCATTAATTCTAATATTCTACAATGACCTCACATCCATTCTCAACTTCTAAATTTTGTAGCATTGCAGCCATAGCATTGGAAGGTCTCCGAACACATACTTTTCTTAAGGTTGTCAAAGACCACAGTTCACTTGGGAGGCTATTCAACTTATTGCATTGATGAATATCTAAGATGTGAAGGCGTGGCATGGAACCATTAGCTAGTTTCCAGTTTTGGATAGGCATATTTCCCATTTGAAACACCTGCAACTGTGGGAACCCATCTTCAACACAATTAAGATCAAAAAATGAATCTGCAGACCAACTGTCTGAAAACCAATTGTCTCCAGTTAAGATCAACCTTTGGAGTTTGGTGAGATTTCCAATAGCTGTCATCCCATCGTCATTCAAGCTACTAATACCTGTCAATGTTAACTTGGTAATGTTGGGAGGAAACATGGCTACACATGTTAGAAGCTCATGTGCATTGTTGATTTTCAGTATACTTAGATGGATCAAGTTCTTCAAACTTTCTAAAACTTCCTCGGGCTTATAATTGATATCCCATCGCAAGTCTGGCCAATCTTTCACTTTGAATATGATTTCTAGCTTATTCAAATGTTTCAATTGTTGAAGGCTTAGCAACATTTTGGGCACATCAACCTTGATGTTTGAGGAGATATACAATCCTAATTTTCTTAGTTTGGGGAAACTTCCTTTCTCTATCAGATATGTTGTTTTTTTATTAGGCACTATGCAAGAGATTGTTTGAAGATTCCACATAACATTACCATTTGATTCTAAATAACGTCCACGTAGCATGATAGGCCCAAAAGTATACACATTCCTTAGATGCTTGAGTTTTAATATTCCACATGGGAAAGAAATTGTGATGACCATGGTTGAAGGTCCAAAGTCTAATGTTTGTAGATTCTGAAGGTTACATATAGAATCTGGAACACTTATAATATTTTTCGAGTCTATTCGTAAGTACCTCAAGTGAATGAAGTTCCCTAAGTTTGCGGGAATCTTAAAACAACACTTTCCTTCAAGATCTAACACCCGAACCAATTTGAAGCCTTTGGTAAGCCATTTCCACTCATCTTGAGAAATGAAGCAATTTGAGTCAGAGCAAAACAGAGAGCGAACACATGAATGGTCATTAGTGCTTGAAGAAATATAATGAGACATGTTAGAATGGACAGACAATCTTCGAGGTTTTGTAGGGATTAAAATGTTGTTTTCGGTGAAAACTTCAAAGATCTTATCCTCTTTGCTTTCTAATATGCAGAGATCTCTGAGAAGATCATGGATGCGACATGTTTTCATGCCTCCACTATCTTTCACTCGTGCTACTTGGACCAAACTACGATCAATGAGCTCATACAAATAGTCTTCAGCAACATCATATGCATCTCTACTTCCTGTTTCTTGTATAAATCCTTCAGCCATCCATAGTTGCAACAATTTCCTTACACGTATTTCAGAATCTTCAGGGAATATCCCTAAATACAGAAAACACGGTTTCAGTCTTGTAGGCAAGTTGTCGAAACTGAGCTTAAGTACAACATTCTTTACTTGAGTCTCGTCTCGGGTAAGATACCAATTAACATGACCAAACACTTTGGACCATTCTCTGTGCGACTTTTCCTTATTTGCCAGAAGTCCTCCGAGAACCACAATTGAGAGTGGCAAACCGCCACAACTTTTAACAATTTGTTTACCAAGAGACTCAAGATCACAAGTGTACTCTTGTCCTCTAAATACTTTTTTGGAAAAGAGCTCCCAACTTTGTTCTTCACTGAGAAATTGAAGATGATAAGGAGGATTCCGACCGAAATGCGAGGCAACTTCTTTCAAACGGCTGGTTATCAATATCCTGCTTCCTCTATTTCCATCGGGGAAAGCATCTTTTACTTCATCCCAATCTTGTATTTTCCACAAGTCATCAAGAACCAACAAATACTTTTTCCACTTCAAGCATTCCCACACTCTTTTCTTCAGCTCATCATCACTTAGGCTAGAGATATCTTGAGAATTATTCACAGCTTCCTCGTGTTTCTTCTTACCCTTTTTGGTGGTGCTGCTTCTACATTCATAGTTATGGTTTGGCATCAGAAATTGAAAAAGACCAAGCAAAAGCTCTCTAGCCCTACATTCATTTGACACATAAACCCATGCACGGCAATTGAAGTGTTTCTTTACCTCATCACTGTTATAGACTTTTCGTGCCAGTGTGGTTTTGCCCAATCCACCCATACCAATGATTGAAACAACTTTGAGTCGCGGAGAACCACCCTCTATGAGTCTATTGATGATTACCTCAGATTCATGGACAAAGCCCACTACATCTTCCTCCTCCACGTTTCTTCTTAATCTGTGAAGTGATTTCATTCTATTCTCCTCTTGTGCTGCTGATGTTGATTGATCACTGCTTTCTTGATAGTATTTGATCTTGTTTTCATGTATCTCGTTGAGTGTGGTTTTGATCTTGTCAATTTTCTCCGCTGCATCGCGGAGCAACTTTGCATGATTAAAGCTGTGAAGCATTCTTTCCAGCATGTTTTTCTTCTTGTAGATAGCAACATTGGCTATGAATGTGTCGATGACATCCTCGGCTACATGGGAGACATCTCTGATCTGACTCAGAACCTTTTGTTCAATCTGTTTGTTGTTGTTGTTCTTCCCTTCAGAAGAAGTTTTGAGGTATACGCCTATGATTTCAAGTTCGTTGCGGAGGGATATGATTCTGTCTTCCACTCCACACAGCAAATTAGATTCGCGTTGCAGCAATTGGGACAAGTGTTCCAAAAGGAATGCAACCACACTGTCTGCCATGTGTAAGTGGAAACTGGTTTTTTTCGTGATTGTTATGTTCTACCATGAAGTTGTTGTTGATGTTATATAATTATCATAAAGAGAAATAGTTAGGAAAGTAGAAGGAAATTGCGCCTCAATCATTAAGAAAGACTTGGGTAGACTTAGACTTTGTTATGCTGTTTTCTGCTTACTAGGAAACAACAATAAAGTTGAAATGCACCATCCATGTATTTAACTCATCGATACTTTTTAGCTTTTCAATTGATTTGTCTTTATCAGTGAAGTTTCCTTTGTTTTCGGATGCAGGAATGACACTGCAGTGCAAAAGTTAAAATAAGCTTCAAGGTTTCAAGACCCACTCAAACTCAATTATTAGAACAAGCCCTTGGGAAGCACAAGACAATTCTCACTTCTCCGTTCTGACTTGATAGGTATGAATTAAATTAATGTTCAGGAACAGAATCAGCCACGTCAATTGGGACCAAATATTAACCTCTCTCTCTCTCTCGTAATAACGGTTAAATTTGAACACAAAAGATTGTCTCAAAAGGCATATTGGTTTAAGTTGATTATTTTTCACATTGTAGTTATAATGATAATTATAATTTAATGATTGGTTATAAAGAATAATTTAATAAATTGATAAAAAAAAAGAATAGTTTAATAAAATTATCTTTTTCTTTCTTTATTTTTTATTTATTTAAAATCTATATGAAAATGATCAAATGTGACAATTATAAAGTCGTTTAGGTGAAAAAAGACTCATGATAAACACAATGATAAGATGTGTGAGATTGAGATGATTGTCCAGACAATATAAAATGTTAAGCCCAATTAGTTAATATGTATATAATCTAAGAAAATTCTAGACAGTATAGAAATAAATGGGTAGTTGAAAGATATTACAATAAATATAATGGTTAGGAGAAATGTGTATAACTCTTATTTGATGTGTGTGAAATTATCTCTTAATGTAGGGTATATAATAGGGGAAGAAGTCCCCCTTTGTAAATCAAATAAGATTTTGTTTAGTAAAAACAGAGGTTGGTTAATAAGTTAGTCTATCATTTATAATTAATAATTAATAGTTGATAACTGTTAGTTTATAATTTATAGATAACAGTTAATGATTGATAACCGATAAATTAATTAAAATATTTAGTAAAATTAACTGTTAAATTAATTTATAAAAGTAAAATAATAGGTGAGTTTTAAAATGTTTGGTAAGATAATAAAAGACATTTAATATATAATTATTTTATTTTAAATTAAAATAAATTATAAAAGATAAAAGTGAATTTTAATTAAAATAATAAGAATAAAAGTGGAAGAAAAAATGACAAACTATAAACTATAAATTAAAATGCTATTTAAAATAGTGTCTGAAAAATAAGACATAAACTAATAAAATAAATTATAAATTATCATATGAATTTATAAGCTATAAGCTAAAAAATATATATCTTATCAAACAAAATCTAAGCAACCAAGAAATCAAAGTATTCACTCTAAGACTACTTGTAATGTGGGTGTTGAATAAATTTTTCAATAGTTGAATTGTTCAAATGGATTGTTGAATAAGGTATTGAATGTGACATGAATTAATAACATGTTGAATGAGAAATGAGCGTGGGCCATTTATAATACTTTGCAAAATATAATTGGTTGTTGTGATTGTTTATATTTTTATCTCACCTAAATTATTTGGAGTCAATTATTTTATAGAAAATCAATTATTTATTTATTTTTATTTTCACCAAAATTCATCATTTTTTTTGTCTATAAATAGAGCATTGGTTCATTTGATTTGGACAAAGAAAAATTTTTCTCTCTTTAATTTTTCTATTTAGCCTCCAATAAATTATTGTTTGTAGTTCTAAACAATTTTTTAGTGAAATGGATCCCAACAATAACCCTCTTAACACCCAAAATTCTACTAATTATTCTTTCAACTACCCAAATCCCAACTATATATTTCAAAATCGATCTTCCAACCAACAAGGTCCCCAAAATATACCAAATTTCATAATACCGTCATCTAATCCAAACTATCGTCCATATTATGGATCTATGATGTCATATTCATCTCAAAAACCACCTTATTATTCTTTTACTCCAATGGAAAATGAAAATGTTTCTAATGTTGGACTTGATGAATTTCCTGATTTTTCTATACAAACGGCTCTTGGTGGCATGAGCGATGGTCATGGAGCCACTCCAAATGCAGAGGATTAAACTCCTGTTCGTCGGAAAAGCCCCAAATGGACCACTGATCAAATTTTGCTTCTAATTAGTGGTGGATTAAATATGAAACAAACAGTGTTGTTGGGAGAAACCAAAAAAATGATTCATATTGGGGTAAAATTGCTTATTACTATAATGAGCATTGCTCATTTGATCCTCCTCGTGATGAAGCTGCATGTAGAAATCATTACAACAACATGAACAAAAGATTTAATAAATAGACAGGCGCTTATGATAACGCTAAGCGTATGCAAAAAAGCGGGTGGTCAGAGAATGATGTATTAGCAAAAGCGCATGAATTATATTCAAGTGGTAAGAGTGGACATTTCATTTTAATGTCAGAATGGCTCGCTCTCCGTGATCAACCACATTATGGTAGTCAGGTAGGAAGAAATAGTGGATCTGTAGGTAGTGGATCTAAGAGAGCCCACGAGAGTGATGCAAGTGATTCCAACTTCGTAGAATCTAGTGCTCGCCCAATGGGGAGGGATGCAGCAAAAAAAAAGGGTAAAAAAAAAGCAATGACGCAGCCTTGGAATCAGTCAATGAAGAGTGGAATGAATTCAAACAATTTAAGGAGAAAGAGTTGGAACGATTGGACAAAATAGCCTTGAGGAAAGAGGAAGCTAACCAATTGTTGAAAGAAAGTACCGAGGCTAAGAAGATGAAGATGTTTATGAAGCTAAGTTCAAAGGAGCATCTTGATGACCGAAGCAAAGAGTTGTTGGAAAAGTTGGGCCGCGATCTGTTTGGAAATTAAATGTTGTTAAATCATTGTTTGTATTTTGTTTCTTATCTACTATTTTCTATATTATCAAGTCTTTATCAAGTCATTGTCAAGTCATTGTTTGTATTTTGTTTCTTATCTACTATTTTCTATTTTGTTATTTTGTTTCTTGTCTACTATTATCTATATTATCAAGACATTGTTTGTCACTTAGTTTCTTGTCTACTATTATCTATATTATCAAGACATTGATTTCTATTTTGTCACTTAGTTTTTTGTCTACTATTATCTATATTATCAAGATATTGATTTCTATTTTGTCATTTTATTTCTTGTCTACTATTATTTATATTATCAAGACATTAATTTCTATTTTGTCACTTAGTTTCTTGTCTACTATTATCTATATTATCAAGATATTGATTTCTATTTTGTCATTTTGTTTCTTGTCTACTATTATTTATATTATCAAGACATTAATTTCTATTTTGTCACTTAGTTTCTTGTCTACTATTATCTATATTATCAAGACATTGATTTCTATTTTGTCATTTTGTTTCTTGTCTACTATTATCTATATTATCAAGATATTGATTTCTATTTTATCACCTAGTTTCTTATATATTATTGATGTACCAATACCAAAAATATGATATTACTAATCTTATAAATGGAGACTCATTCTTCCATTAATGTACCAATACCAAAAATCTCATATTACTAAAAAACATCAATGGATCCTTCAGAATTTCCCTTTGATATCGAAGCTTACAAAAGGTAGTCTAAAATCGAAGAGAGGTGTATCGTCAACCGGTTCAGCGAGCGACGAAACCAAACAGAGGAAAGATATACACTTAATGTTAAGAGAAAATATCTTAATAGAGATCATGCAGCGGAAAACCAAAGACTAATAGAAGACTACTTTGCAGACCAACCTACATATGACGATGCAATGTTTCATCGGTGATTCCGGATGCGAAAACATGTGTTCCTCAGGATCGTTGGGGAACTATCTAGCAGTGACAACTACTTCACCCAAAGAGTTGACGCAACCAAAAAAGAAGGTATATCTCCATTAGAAAAATGTACCACGGCCATGCGAATGTTAGCATATGGTGTGGCAGTCGATGCGGTCGATGAATACATTAAAATAGGAGGTACAACAACATTAGAGTGCTTGCGTAGATTCTGTAAAGGAATCATAGAATTGTATGAGCCAGTGTATCTCAAAGCCCCAACTCAAGATGACCTGCAAAGAATACTACATGTTAGTGAAATGCGGGGGTTCCCGAGGATGATTGGGAGTATTGATTGCATGCACTGGGAATGGAAAAATTGTTCTACAGCATGAGAAGGTCAATTTACTCGGGGAGATAAGGGAACCACCACTGTTATTCTTGAAGCAGTTGCAACTTATGATCTATGGATTTGGTATGCCTTCCTTGGATGTCCGGGCACATTGAACGATATAAACGTTCTAGACCGTTCACCCGTGTTTGATGATGTTGAACAGGGAAAAACTCCAAGAGTGAATTTTTTTGTGAATCAAGGTCCGTATAATATGGCATACTATCTTGCTGACGGTATCTACCCTTCTTATCCGACTTTCGTCAAATCAATTAGACTTCCTCAAAGTGAACCAGATAAGTTATTTGCAAAATATCAGGAGGGATGTCGGAAGGACATCGAACATGCATTTGGGGTGTTGCAGGCCCGATTTAAAATCATTCGCAAACCAGTCCGTTTGTGGGACATAGCTGATTTGGCTCTCATCACGAGGTCATGTATCATATTGCATAATATGATTGTTGAGGATGAACGAGATAATATTCTCAATATTGGACAGATTATGATCAATCTGAGGTAAGTGGGTCTGGTACACCAGAGCCATTCTCGACCAAGGTGCTACCTGCATTTGCAAATCATGTGCGTGCTAGATCTGTGATGCGTGATTCAAATATACATCACGAATTGCAAGCAGATCTAGTCAAACATATATGGGTAAAGTTTGGAATGTTTCGTGATTAAATAGATTATTTGTGAGTTGAGTCTATTGTACTAATTAAGTTATGTGTGTTTCATTTTAAGTGTGTTGTGTGTATTGTATTGCATTTTAAGTTTTTTATAATTACGAATATAAAATTAGAGAAAAAAATTAAAATAAGTTTTTAAATTAAAAAAATTAAAAAAAAATTATTTAACTCTTAATTATTTTAATTTAATTTCAATTAATAATAATTATTAATATATAATAAAAAAACAAAAATATAAAAAAGAAAATAAAAATATGAAATAAAAGTGGTGGAGTAAGGTGTTGAATTTTATTAAACAAAATCATTGTAGTGAGTAAAACTTGAATGAGTGTTGAATTATTAGGTGGAAGAGAGAGAAGATGTGTGGAGTGTAAAAAATAGAAAAAAATGGGTGTTGAATAATTTTGTCATTGTAGATAGTCTAACTAACATTACTCTTACTCTTTTCTCAAATATTCTCTTTTCCTCGGTATTTTCCTTAGTCTCTTAAATGATATTAATATGATGTCATTGACATTTTTACTAACATTTTCAGTCCCAACTTTTTCAGCCTCATCATCCTTTTCAATAACACCCTCAGTATCATTGACATCACTATTAATGGTAGGACACATGACTCCATATATAATAGGAGAGGGAGATGAATATTGTGTAGATTTGAAAAACTTTGATTTAAAATAAAATAATTTGTAAAATTAGAGTTTGAAAAATATTTTATAAAAAAATGTGAAGTATAAGCTGCGAAGAATTAAAGGAAATAAAATGACTGGAAATAAATGAGATGAGGGAGAAAAGAGAACAACAGAGAATTATATAAGTTCGACCTAAGATGATATAATCTTATCTTTAAGAATTATTATAGAGTATTCACTAAATTTGAGAATTTCTAGAAGGATTTTTGCACGAATCTCCTTATACAAGGAAATGAAGTTTTCAAACTTAACTTCTAACTAAACAACAAACAAGGTATAGAGCGGTAGTCTCCAAACCAAACAGAGATTTTTCAAGGTTAATCTCGAACCAAAACGGAATTTTGAGTTGTCTATCCTTCGGATCAAACCGCAATTTTATACAAGCTGACCACAAAACAAGTTGAGATTTTCACCGGGCTCATCTTGAACCTACTGAGCTTTTAACAGACTAAACTCAGAAATCAAGTGAAATTTTAGTTGGGTTGATCTCAAATCGATAGAGCTTTTAATCAGCCTGAGCTTAAGAACTGTTGTGGAGATTTTAATAGCTCATATTCACAAACCAAAAAAGAGAGATTTTTCTTCAAGGAGAAACTCACGAATCGAACAGAAACTTCCTAAGACAATCCCCAATCCAAACAAGAATTTAAATGGGTTTAACTCACAACCAAAATAATAACTTCCTACAGAAGAATTATTAGCTAAATAGATAATACACTATTTATAAATTTACTATTTTCCCTCACCTAAAACAAAACATTGTGACTAAATATATGTGAGAAATCAGATATTTACAAAAGTAACGAGAGAAACAAAAGTGAGTTTTAAACTCGTTTTATGGATATGAAAAACTGATAGAAAAGCTTATATTTATATGCCAAAAAGGTGGTATAAATTTGGAAACAATCCATGAGCCAAATGAATATCATAATTGATTAGGCAAATCGATTATAAACTTTAAATAATCGATTATTAAGATCAAAAATGGGAGGTTTTGATATATAGTCGGTATCAATCATTAAGAAATTGTCCTAATTGATTTTATAGACTCAACCAAGCTACATCTAATTGATTAGGTTTAAGGTCTAATCACTTATTTAGTTGAAGAACAGTCTTCCAATCATTTAGACACTCCCCTAATCAACTATTTAGATCACAACACTACTACGGAAAAGGGATATCATAACGGTTGGAAAGGGATAACACGACGAATGATCAACCGTTGTGAGGTAAGGGGTGGTTGTATGTATGATGTTTTCCACTACTGTAAGGGATGGTTGTATGTATGTGCGCGAACGTGATTATATGTCAAGTAGCACGCTACCTAGGGGTGTTCAAAATCAAATCGACCCAATAGAAAACCACAAAACTGAATCGAACCGAACCAAATCGAAACTGCAAAAAATTGCATTTAGTTCGGATGTGTTTGAGTCATTTTCTAACAGAACTGTGTGGTTCAGTTTGGTTTGCGGTTTGTATTTTGCAAACCGAATCAAACCAAACCAAACCGCATTATGTTATTAAATCTTACTAACCAATATATATTTCTTTAATCTTTTAGAGAAATCAACATGTATTATGTATATATTTTATCACATTCTTTGTATGATATTTATTTTAATTTATAAATCATAAAAAATGAAATATTATTAATTTATAAATACTATTTTCATAAAATATACTTTATCGTATTCTCTGTATAATATTTATTTAAGAATGCAATCTTATGTATATCATTCTTTAGATTTAGATAAAATTATAATACACAATTTTATGTATCAAATTATAAACTTATTTTGACAATTATAAATTTTTTTATGGTAATGTATGAACGATTAAACACAACATTATATTTTTCTCTATATGTGTATGTATGGTTCAATAATTTTTTTTGTAAAAAACTAAACCAACCGAACTAATCCAAACCGCATTAGTTTGGTTTGGTTTTATTTTTAAAAGCCAAATGAACCAAACCAAACCGCATGTTTTTTCTCTTGCGATTTGGGTGGTTTTTTGTTTCAAAACCGCCTAAACCGCATCGCGAACACCCCTAACGCTACCTACCACAGACTACTCCAAACAACCATTGTGATATAATTTAAAGAAAAACATTTAACAACGATTTTTCTAAACAACTGTTGTGGTACATACACTGAATTTATTATAAATTATATGGAATGCTTATTTCAGCAATGCTCACTAAACATATAACTTTTCATTATGATCTAGAATATTATAATATGACAAAAGTTATATTAGAAGAACAAATTACACGTTCAATGATAAACAAGAATTCTTCAACTCCTTA